TTTTTTTTTTTTTTTTTTTTTTTTTTTTGTATAAAATCAATTTTAACAAATATATGGTATAATTCTTAATAAAAAAAATTAGATTGATTTAAAAATTATTTTTGAATATCGTTATAAGTCTAATAGTCATGCATCATGCTTATTCTCGCTCATTCAGTTTACAAACTCGATAAAGTAGCTTAACTCCTTCCATTCACCTCGATCAAGCTATTTCGGTCCTTCTACTTTCACTTTATTTGGATAACTTTGATCTCTATAGAAATTCCAAATCATTGAAGAGGAATAGGATGCCGATTGACGGTATCTTTAGATCTCAAAAACACAATTGTACGACCTATAGAACAGATGTTGCAGGCTCGACTAATAGTATCTCTTTGGGCAAAAGTACTTGCCCGATATCGACCATAATAACTTGATACTTGTCTATGAAAGTATGACATAACCAACACTGCAGAAAATACAACTAATGATAATAATCAAACCAAAGGAGGTTAAAATACACAGTATTTGAACTAGAAATTTCATGAAAGTAGAGAAAAAGTAGTTTACAATAGGCAGAAGGAAGAGACCAAGAATATAAAACACTTCTAAAGAAGAATTCAGCTAGCTCACCTATGACCACTAGCTCGAGCAAACTTATTATCTTAAGTATCACTCGTTCCAAATAAAAAAGTCGATTCTCATAAGAGCACGAGTGAAAAAGTAGCACGAAAACTGAATACTAGATTCAATAAAAGCTCAGCTCTCCTGAACTAACGGAGGCATTCAAATGTGCTTATTCTATCGTCAAAACATTTATTGACATAGCATAAGAAGATAAGCTTATGCTAGCACGAGTTTGTAGAAAGATATTTAAAATCAGGGAAGCAAATTACAAACACACCCAATACTGCCTTAAACTAGTTCTTGGAGAGATGATAATCAAAACAACCTAGTTTACCATCGCCCCTTGCCTACAAAAATAGCAGACCGTTCAACCGTTCAACAAATGTAAGTTAGTGCCCAATAATCAGTCTGAGATTCTAATCTCGACTCCCAAAACGTCCTTCACCATTTCGTACGACACAAATGCGATGGCGATCGACGGGACAACCTGAACAAGGCAGCAGGCAACAGAATCAGAAAATAGCCTTGTTTTAGGGAATACTGTTAAAGTCATCATTAATCAACTTGTAATAATTGAAATCGTCAAATTTGAGCCAGGAACGGTCTAAAACAAACAAAATACAACCCCAAAATTTCAAAAGAATGGGCCATGAGGGGATGCAATTTGTCAATGCTTCTAATCTAAATGGGATATGAACAGGCAGCATTTATAATAAACATCAACAACAATCTTAAAAATTCTGATAGAACAAAATCGAAGTTATCCATCGAACACAGATGCCTCAGCTTCCTACATTTTCTCAATGCCTCAGAGAGTGTAAGGTCAAACAACAATCATGTGGAACACCAGAGATGAAGCTGTCCCAGCACCCGGGGTTTTTTTTTTTTTCCCCAAAAAAATGAAATAAAAATTGACAGCAAAAACTACTTTCAAAGAAATCAACACACGACCATGGTACTAGTAATTGAAGTAGCTTCAAAATAGAGGTTAGGGTATCACACAGTATTTATACAGAGTTTTAAAAACCATTTTCCATACAATGCACTGAGACCTCATCGATCCCCGAAACTTTACATACGGAATCGCTCATTCTCCCACCAAATTCAGAATTAGATATCAATCAGTCAACTTCATCATATTAATATAAACAAGCAGAGACAGAGTAAGAGCATGCCTAACCTTCACTGAGTTGGGAACCAAACCCTTGTACAATGCCCTAAAGCCTTCATAACGAACTGTTTTTCTAAAAGCATCGATCATGCCAGTGTATTCAAGGGCTGCCTTACTTCTTCCATCACCAGTAACTACAGATGCAGCATTATTCCAGCCCACCATCTGCATTCTTCTACGAATGACATCAAGAGGATAGGCAATAGTTTGACCTACAGTTCCAGCAGCAGCTCCACATGCTAAGCGTGTTGTCACACTGAGCTCTGAATCTTCAACAAGTCCAAACGGTCTCCTTTTAATTAACCAATCTTTAAGTGATTCATACACGGCAAAGTTAAGTCCCACGTATGGAATCTGCAAAATGAAATGTGCTACTTAAACTTCATGCACGAAGTATAAAAACCATGTATCTTCTAGTATCTATAAACTGTAATCCAAACAAGTTTCATAACATTAGGTGAATAATTGGATAAATAAAACTTGAAGTAATTGCTCATTAGTAAAAGCATTTGGAATGAAGGTTTACAATACAGAAGCACAGACATGATGATGGATTATTTTCTGAAGTCAAGGACATGGAAATGGTAGTCTATTAAAAAATATATATATACCTTTTTACATTTCAATTATTCTCACGCTGAAAATTTATTATACTTATGATTATAATAAACACATAACACTTCAAGAGACAAAAGAAACCAGTACCCTACTTATAATATACTTGTTGCATTTGCAATATCACTTATTTTTTCCCCTTTACTTTTTAGTGCAATTTGCTTCACTCAATTGAACCTACTAAGCATTGCCAGCATCAAAGTAAGGAAGAACCTCATGATCGCACCTTAAAAATACTTATAATGGCAGCACATATGCAAAAGATAAATAAAATGAACTTACAACTCCGATGACAGAAGGAAGCCAGCCCTTGTACAAGGCCCTTGGACCTTCTTCCCGAAGCACCGTTGAAAGAGCATGGAATATTCCTCTGTACTGGTAAGGAGACTTATCTGTCTGAAAACAAATTCAGGGCAAATGAAGGAAATTTCAGTTTAATGAAAAGAATATCAAGATGACACAAAATATAAAGTTGTGAAGCCATAGCTAGGATTATAAATAATCGGCATTGAATAAGAACTTGAAAAGGGCAAGGAATTGAGAATGAGTACCTGCACGGTTAATCTGCCTCGCACCATGTCCATAGGGTAAGTTGCTGACATGGCAATAATTCCAGCACAAGCTCCAGCGCCAAGACGTAGAAGAGGAGTGAGTTGAGCATCTTCTGCAAAAATAAAACAAAAAGGCTTAGATTGAGATTTGTGCAGGATGAGGAGGGGAGGGAGCAGCAACTCTTGTGATCTTTCATAATTATAATATAACAAAAGTGATAAAGGGAGGCCAAAATGAACTTACGGTTACCAGTCTGTTCCCTGTAAGCGTACAGTATTCCCCTGTCAATAGAAAAGAACAAAAATCAGCAATTTAGCAAATACTAAAGAGAGAATTAAGGGATTTAAGGGGTGTATTCAAAACGTATCAAATGTTCCCTAATTGGCACACTAGTAAGATTACCAATAAGTATGAACTGTTTTTCAAATCAATATCATATTTTTGTCAACTTCCCCCCTTCAGCAATTAGATTTTTCTAGTAACTCTATTCCTAAATGACGCACTGTGTTGAAAGATCCTTAGTACTCTATTGGATCAATCTCTCCTGAAAACTAACTTCAACAGCCAACAATCCTATTTGTCAGAATGAAACCTAGTACTGATATCCGGTGATCAATTACTACACTTCCTGTGTTCCTAATAACAAAAGGTAATTTCTACCACGTATTTCCAAGATAAGACAACAGCCAACTTTTCTCACCACATGAGGTCGTGTCAGTGCAATCAACAAATCAGTAAATTTAACAATGTCAATCATAAAAATTCAGCATCCTCCAACATGTTGATCAAATTTAACTTAAAACACTAAAGCCAATCATTTCTGAAGGCAAAATTGAAGTTGATCACATTACAGAACATTGACTTAAAGCTTACCGAGAAGCTTGTTCATAGCTGAAGAATTTTACTGCTGAATTTGGTACTATACGAGCACAATTAGTACCATTGCCTTTGAATAGTCCTCGAAAGCCCTCAGTTCTCCAAATGTATTTCAAGCCTTGTATCGTTCCATTATATTTTATGCTATGAGGATTCTGGACCTGTTTTGTAGAAGCAGCTAAATAAGACGTTGAAGCTATGCATATCCTACTTTGTGGCCATGCTCATAAACCTCGTGAGTAGTGCGTACGCTAACAAAATGATCAATTGATCAGTTGCAGAAAATTAATGAATAGAGCAGACGAACCTGTAATAATATCTTCAATCGCTCCAAAGGGGCAACAGCAGTTCGAGAGCTGAAAAAGATACAAAAACGTTTCAGAATATGGGTTCACGGAAAAGTAAACTCAGATGAGAAATATTAAAAACTGGTAACTTCGAAGACTACAAAGAAGCGACAAAGTCAAATTATAGAAAAACCTATACGATGCACGCATTGAACATTTAACAACCTTCTTTCTCAGGTCAAAAGTAATGGCATGCCATTAAGTTCAATGATCGGTCTGATTTACGAATTCAAAGCTTGGACGGTGCAAATTTATTTTTTAAAATTTTTTTCTCCCACATTTTCTACTCTAAAACGAACAACCAAATCAACAAGCACAAAAAATGCTCGACCGACAAGCTATAACTTAATCATACGTCCTATAATTTTAAGAGGCAGCCAAAAGGACGTAAAAAAACCTGTAATCATTCAAAGCCAAATTTATATCGATATAAGTCGTAGTTTACAGGGGGGAAATGGAACTCACACTCCGCCGGCGACTCCACCAGCAACAAGAGATTTGAAGATGCTAAGCATGGCATAACTGGGTGCTTTGACGCCTTCTCTCGCAAGCTTCGCCTCCTCTGCCAGGTTTACGATGGTAGAAACAGCCGATTCGCTTCGTTTGACGTCCTCCGAAGCCATAAAATAAATCAGCGATGCTGAAAACGAAGGCAAGGCTCACCGAAACACTAAGTCGCCGCAACTGGAAGCCTGATCTCAGCCTCCGGACAAAGATCCCGGTGAATATCAGAGAGGAAGGTTTTTGCGTCTCTCTCTTTCGCCAGTGTCAGTCGGGGAGAGGGAAGGGTGGCGTTGCGGCTGATGCTGTTGCGAAGTCATGAACTTTTTTGAGACCTCGAAACAACGACCGTTAATTAACGCCGTTTATTTGCTGTTGATTAACGGCGTCTATGGTCGTTCGGTTTGTTTTGGATTAAGATGAATTTTCAGCCACTAGATTTACTCCTGTAAATAGCGAAATCGGTGTGCTCGTCATAACGAAGATGACACGTGGCATTTTGAGGGATATTCCGGTGTGGGAAGGAACATCATATCGTCAACATATCACCCAATAGATTCCACCGTCAGTGTAAGAAAATCAGATTCTATATTTTGATTTTCCAATTTAAAACCCGTATAATAGAAGAAATTAGTGGACGTTTTTACGCTTAATTAACCATTTTTTTTATTTAAATTTAAATACCATTTTATTTAAAAACTTTTATTCAATGGATAAATTAATACACTTTTACCTTTTTTATTTTTATTTTATATAATTTAAAACATTTATTTTGTCGCAAATTTTAATTTTGTACATTATTAAAATTTTATATTATCTTATATTAATTTAAAAAATAATAATAATAATAATTCTAGATGAGTAAGATGATAAGATGATAATTAATATTTTATTCATTAATTTACGTGGGAACTTACACTCAATTGTCATTTATAAAATTTACAGACAAAACAAAACAAGTTACCAATTTAAATGACGGATAATATTTTGACTTTTTATGGTAACCTTATTAAATTGGTAACTTAATGAACAAACTTTTTTTCATTTAGGTAGTTCTGTCCTTGGATAATTGGTGGTTATATTTTTCTTACTTTTTTAGTTTTATTAATCGACCTATAGTTTTGTATTTGGATTGAAATTTCAAATTGAAGTGTAATGAAGTACGAACCTAACCTTATATGGTATTATGTTCAATAATCTCGGATGCTTAAAACTAATGTTGATGTGATTCTTAATTACTAAAAAAGGAAGACGTAGAGAGTTGGATTACTTCTACATAATTGAGTGATATGTGAGTTTTTTTTATTGAACGTTTTTTTTATCTTCTCTTCTTCTCACAAATATGGCGATCTTCGTTTAGAAATTTTATGAGTTTTATATTATATTAAAAAAATTTATTAATCTCTATAAAATATGTTTAAAAAATTAAATGGAATACAATACTATAAAGAAAACTTAAATGTTTTGAATATAATTGACTTGTTTATTAAATTTGGATCATAAAACTGGCTAAAGGCGTTGTTCCTTTAGTCGCTATCTCCCCTGGTTGATGCCTTCCATTTTCCAAATAAAGTAGGTGGGAGCAGCCGTTCAGGGCGCCAAGGGTCGACAGTGCACAACAAATCATAATTTATTATTATTTTTAATTCGCATGGCCCCCTTCAAAATAATAATAAACCTAATTAATGTATAAAATTTTGAGTTTAATTTATATTTGGTTTTACGTTCTCTTCAATTTTGATTTTGTTCTCGTGCTTTAATATTTTATATTTGTACTCCTGCCTTGCTATAACGATTTTATTTATTTTTTACTTTAATTTTCAATTAATTAAAATAAAATAATTGTGATGAGATTTTAAATTTTAGGTTTAATGGCGATGATAAATCAATTAATTATTTTAATTATTTTTAAACAATCAAAATGATATCTAAGGATTAAAAATAAATAAAAGTCAAGTTATATATATATATTTTAATTTATAAGTTCGTTCCGACAATATATCTCTAATGTATTTAATATATATATTTTTTAAGTTAAATAATCACATGAATGGTAATGTATAAAATTATAGATATAATTTAAAGTCTTTTCACGAACCTCTCTTCTGAGAATACAAATGCCACAAGCCAACAAATAATTTGCTACCCTATCTCTGATTTCGAAGTGTATATATATATATATATCGATAAAATGTATCTATTCAAATTCAACTTTAAAAAAGATCGTTAAATTTTATTATAAAAAATAAAAAATTCATAATCAAATTGAGATTATTGTATACATGATGACCAACTCATCAATGATAATATTAAAACATTAAAGATATTTAATTTTATGAAAAAAAAATCATTAAACTCAGCTATTTACATATAACAAACTTGAAATTCACAGGAGGACTGGACAAAAGGTAATTTAATGTCCAAAATTACCAATTCAACTCTGGAACTCCCCGTTGACCAGTCAATGTCTGAAGGAGTCCTAAGCATGTAAAGAAATGAACGAAACAGAGCAGATGGCATCCTTGTTCTTTCCTCAGATGGCATCCTTCCAATTCCACGCTCTTCTTCTATCTCTCCTTTGTTTCTCACTCATCGCCGTCTCCACCGCCACCGGCCTCCGTGGTCTGGAGGTCGGAGTTGATTTGGACCTAAACAGCCTTCTCGACGCCTGCAACTCTGGCAACTACCAGACCATCAACATAGGTTTCCTCGTTTCACTTGGCAACGCCCAAACTCCCGAGATCAATTTAACCGCCTACTGCAATCCAACCACCGGCGACGGCTGCACTAAATTCAGCCAACAAATCAAGTCTTGTCAAGCCTTGGGCATCAAAATTATGCTCTCCATCGGCGGCGGAGCCGGTAAATACGATCTGAACAATTTCACCGAGGCCACGAACTTCTCCACCTACCTCTGGGACAATTTCCTCGGCGGCCAATCAAATTCCCGTCCATTGAACGACGCTGTATTCGACGGCGTCGACATTACCAACGATAGAAGCTCCTGGGACAATTGGAGCAAACTCGGTGAAGAACTGAGGAAATTATACGAAAAACAGGGGAGGAAATTTTACTTGTCCGCCGCTCCGCAATGTTCGTCTCTGGATTCGAGTGCTCATTCGATTCCACAACCAGGGATTTTCGACTATATTTCAGTCCAATTCTACGGGGATAATCTGGTTTGCCAGTACCTCAATGACCGGCTGGATGGGTTCTGGAAAAGTTGGAACATGTGGAAGACATTTCGTGCAGGCAAGGTGTTTGTGAAAATGCTAGCGGCTCCAAAGGCGGAAGGGTTGGGATATATACGCCCCGATGTGTTCAGAACTGAAGTCTTGCCGGAGCTTCAACAGAGTTCGAAATTTGGCGGCGTGATTTTGTCATCTGAAGATCTTAAAGAAGGGTACAGTTCAGAGATTAACCCAAAAGTGTGTGGATCAGTTGGGGCGGAGTCGCAATCGGCGAATGAAATGGCGGTGTTTCCCATGGGCAATAGCTATGGTGGTCAACGAGGGTTTAGAAGTTGCAGAGGATCTTGCGTGATTATCTAGAAACTAGAAAACGTTGGGTTCACTTATTTTTCTCCAACTTTATATATATTAAACAATATTCTTTTTAAAAAACCTTAATGTACAATTAACATTGTAATAAATTAAATAATATTTTATAAATAAAAATAAATTAAATAAATAATATTTCCCAACCTCGTTTGGTTAACGAAGAATCCAAGGAGAGGAAATCAATAAATTATCACTATTGAAGCTTCCTCCCTATCCCTCTTTTGGCATCGAGCTGTCAGTACAATTCATTTTAAGTAGAGGTTGATAGTATATTCTCAGGTGATCTTGTTAGCCACTTCGTCCACTTTAAGTAGATTTTGGTAGTGTAGTCCCAGTCGATCCGATTAGCCCCCAAATTTACAATATAAGGTGAACTACCTCCTTTCGAGTGGGTCCCTGTGTTCCTTGTTTATTCTCAATAATAAAAATGATATACTCTAAAGTTAATTTGTAATTTTTACAAGTTTAAAAATAAATATAAATCAAGAAATTCATTAATTTAGCCTTAAATGTCAAACCCGCGCGATTTTAGGCATTTTCATTTTCACTTTCAGTACTTTCCCTCCAGGCCTGGCTCTCTTTTCGCCCGATTCTCTCTCGATTTCTTTGATCGTTCGTTCCTTTCGTTTCCGCTGAAGACCGAACGACCGATGATCGATTGTTCAAGATATGGTTCCCTTCCTCTGATGGCCAAAAGAACAACAAAAGCGGATATGATTGATTCTTGTGAGTCATAGATCACTTCCCTTTCTTTTCCCTTATTCATTCTCTCCGCCGCGGCTTCATGAATGCGGCAATCTGTGTTTTTCAATGACGGACGGTGCTTTTTGGCCACTGCGAATCGCTGGAATCACACTGCGTTCTTCTAGTCATCGACAATGCTAATTTTCTTTTTTCAATGGCGGATGGTGTTTTTGTTATTTTCTTGCTAATTATCTCTCTTGACATCGACAATGCTGTTTTGTTCTTAGATTTCAACGATCTATGTTAGCTGTACTATCAAGCGTGTTTGATGCCCTCGAGATTGCTAGGAAGCGGGACATGCTCATCGTTTGGGTCCGTTTCTTTCTCTTTTCTTCTTTAACATTTTTTTTCCTTGGAATTAAAATCGCTGTGAAAATACCTAAGAGGTTTCAGCAATATCAAGAACGAAAGTAGCTTCTGGTTATAGATATATGAAGTTTTTCGAATTGCAAGAGATTATTCCCGTTCCTCTCAAATGCTTGTCAAATTACTCTGATGTGAAAATGGAACTCGAGAGCCCTGTTTGGTAGTTGAGAAAATATTTGATGTAATGAAATGTGAAGTGATAAGATATGAAAGTTAAAAATAGAAATAACCTAAAATTTCAACAATCTTACACAGGAAATCGAACTAAATGAGGCGGGAATTAGAAAATATTGTTATTTGTGATCTCTTTTATGTTTTTACCTGATTGTTGTGCACCTTGGCGCTGCTTAGTACCAAGTCCGTGCGCAATTTGAATTTGATATTGATGTTATTTCTTAGCCCATTAGCTTATCACTTATGTGCAATTCTTAGTCATTAGAAACGTTTGTTGCAAGATACTATGTTATTGTTTGTTTTGCTATACATAAACATATAGAATGCAACTCCATTTCTAAAGCTGTTGAAAATAAAATGTGCACAATTTGATATTGATAGAAGATCCACGATCCCTGACATGTTTAAACAACTCAAATTCTTTGCCTAATCCGATTCATTTCGAGACCTGTTATCTCTGGTTTCAATTTTCAGTTCCCATTTCTTGTGAAAATGAGTGAAATTCTTCGCATCCAACGAGGCCAATGTGGGGAACCAGATCGGTGCCAAGTTCTGGTGAGTTGTTTGTGCTGACTATGTTATCGACCCCATCGATTAATGCATACTACAATGAGGTCAGTTGCGGGAGACAGAATCCATAAATTTATTGAATGAACTCTTTCAATACCTGAGTTCTACTGATTGCAATTCACTCGGCCTGTTTAATCCTTGGAAGAGTTTAAGTTTCCCTCTCACATTTTCAGTATTTCCCTCCGCTTTCTTTTACCGTTCCTTTTCTCTCTGAATGCCCAAAATGACGAATAATCCATTCCCGTTCTTCGAACAGATAGTTTTATTACTTCCACTCCCCCCT